TTTATTTTTATTTGAAAGGAAGATATTACACAGAGAGAAGAAGAGACAGAGAAAGAAAGACCTTCCACCTGCTGGCTTACTCCCCAAATGGTCACAATGGCCAGAATAGAGCCAATCAAAAGCTGGGAACCAGGAACTTTTCTGGGTCTCTCCTGTGGGTGCAGGGTTCCCAAAGACTTGGGCCATCCTCTGCTGCTTTCTCATGGCATATGCAAAGTGCTGGATCAGAAGTGGAACAGCTGGGATGTGAACCAGCACCCATTTGGGATGTCAGAACTAACAGGTGGAAGTTTAACCTATTATGTACCATGCTGGCTCCAATATATGCCTTCTAATGCCTTCCAAATGCTCCACTATTTGTATGTTTAAATATATCATCTCATTATACATGATATCTATTTATTATTTTAATGTTATATATGTTTAAAAATTATGTGATTTCTATGTAATCATATTCATGAATTTCATCTCAGAAGGATAAAGGAAGTCTCACAAAATATCTGTCACAAATGATCATACTGGATTTGGTTAGTGGAGAACAATTGATTAGCCACAATATTTGATGTAAGAAGTTAATCTGGGTCATTGTTCTAGAAAGAACCGCTCTCTTCAGATTTAAAAAATGTCATTAAACTAGTATCTGTCAGTTTTCTACAGGTATGTTAGGTAGAAGAATGGATAAGGTCCTTAGTCTCCTTCTCTCTCTTTTTAAGATTTACTTATTTTTATTGGAAAGATGGATCAGATTTATGGAGAAATAGAATGAGAGAAAGATCTTCTGTCTACCTCTTCACTCCGCAAATGGCTGAAATGGACGGAGCTGAGCCAGTCCAAAGCCAGGAGCCAGGAACTTCTGGGTCTCCCACATGGGTGCAGGGTCCCATGGCTTTGGACCTTCCTGCACTGTCGCTTTCCCAGGCCACAGCAGGAAGCAGGATGGGAAGTAGAGCAGCCCGGACATGAACTGGCACACATGTGGATCCCACAGCTTGCAAGGTAAGGATTTAGCCAATGAGCCATTGCACTGGGCCTCCTCAGTCTGTTAAATGTAGAAGTTATAGCTTGGATCCAGGATAGTACATACCTTGTTTTCAGATCAGTCAAGGGTGGTGTCAATTATAGCAAAAAAAAAAAAAAAAATCACAAAAATAATGGAGAACTCTTCAAAAGCTATAATATGGGGCTGGCAATGTGGCATATAGTGTAAAGTCTCTGCCTGTGGAGCTTGCATCCTTTTTGAGTGCCAATTCAAGTCCCAGCTGCTTCAATTCAGTTCCAGCTCCCTACAAAGGTATTGTGAAAACAGGAGAAAATGGCACAAGAGCTTGTACCTCTACACTTACATGAGACCCACAAACAACTTCTGGCTTCAGACTGACACAGCTCCGGTCGTTGGGGTCATTTGGGGAATGAATCACAGGCTGGAAGATCTCTGTCTCTATGTAGCTCTGTCTTCCAAATAAATAAATCAGTTTTTTTTTTTATTTTTTTTAAAGATTTATTTTTATTATTTTTTCATTGGAAAGGCGGATATACAGAGAGGAGAGACAGAGAGGAAGATCTTCCGTCCGATGATTCACTCCCCAAGTGAGCGCAACGGGCCGATACTATGCCGATCCGAAGCCAGGAGCCTCTTCTGGGTCTCCCACGCGGGTGCAGGGTCCCAAAGCTTTGGGCCGTCCTCGACTGCTTTTCCCAGGCCACAGGCAGGGAGCTGGAAGGGAAGCGGGGCTGCCGGGATTAGAACCGGCGCCCATATGGGATCCCGGGCGTGCAAGGCGAGGACCTTTAACCACTTGCGCCACCGCGCCGGGCCCCAGTTTTTTTTTTTAAAGCAACATACATCCTTCAGAGTAGTTATAGTTGGTATGTTAGTACTTCATGAGTAGGGTTTTCTTGATTGGTATTATCTGTACTCTCTGGGTACACAGGAAAAAATTCAGACAGACATCTGCTCCTTTGTTGTTACACTGAACTCGTACAGCGCAAGTTCAGAATCAATAAACTTCAGAGGATTATGATACCAGATCCAAGAAGAAATTATCTTATATAATTGTCTTTCCTCAGGGAATACAGAGAATAAAATGATTCACAGAGCAAAAAATGGATCTAAATAGTATGAGAGTAACAAGGTTGCATGGTATAAATCAGCTTTATGCTTACTGGCTTAGTGTAATTATAAGGAAACTAGAATTGTAAACATTAATATAAAACAAAACAGACTTTAAGACACGGAATAATAAAGGACATTTTATGATAAAAAGATCAGCATAACAAGATACATCATAAATGTAGATGTATCCAATAAGAGGGCTCCAAAATATAGGACCCAAAACACATGGATATATGAATTCAAAGGAATATGTAATAAGAATTTTTTTGCTAGTGATTTCAATACTATTTTGAAAAACAATTGATAGAAAAAATGCATAGTTCTGCTTTCTTCAACAAACAGCAAGTGAAGTCTGGCTCTCTGTCACACCAGTGGGTGTGGTAGCCTGGCCAACCCCCACTCCCAAACCCAGTCCACATGCTGGCTGATGGATGTAGCAGTCCTGCCTGTACTGACCTGCTTCCCCAGTCCCAGCTCTCACACTCACCAATGGAAGCAGTAGCCGAGCAAAGGAGTCCTTGAAGTTCCCTATCAGGTTCACTCCCAGCCCTCAGTCTTGTGTATGCCTTCAGGTGCTATGGCCAGTCTGAAATGGCCTGGCACTGTCTCAGCATTGGTTTAACTTATCAGCTAATTGAGCACATAGTCTCCCTGCACAATAATAAAATACTTAATCTGGTTTCAGAAATTACTGAACTGAGCTCTTCACTTACACCAACCATTTTTTTATGTGAATGCCAAAGTACAGAATAAAGTGCTTTATCACAGGTTCTGTTACTATTGATCTGCTACTTGAACTATTGCATGGTGCCTGGCGAAAAACAAACAAATAAACAAACAAAAAAACACCAGTAAGATACTTACTAAAACACTCAGGCTACTATCCTTCACATTTGCAGCATTAGTTGTATATAAACTCTTATTCTCAATCTATAACAATCAGCTGTGAATCAACAGCCCTCTTAGAATATTCATATTTGAAAACTTATTTACATTAAATGCTTACATTATATATTAAGGTGTAACTAACTTCACAAGTATTTCTAGAATAGCCATTAAGAAATAAATTGTGGGGCCCAGTGCGGTAGTCTAGCAGGTGAGAGTTCTTGCCTTGCATGTGCAGGGATCCCATATGGGCGCCAATTCATATCCTGGCGCACCCTACTTCTCATCCAGCTCCCTGCCTGTGGCCTGGGAAAGGAGTCAATTATAGCCCAAAGCTTTGGGACCCTGCACCTGTGTGAGAGACCGGAAGAGGCTTCAGGCTCCTGGCTTTGGATCAGTGCAGCTCTGGCTGCTGTGGCCGCTTGGGAAGTCAATCAATGGACGGAAGATCTTCCTCTCTGTTTCTCCTCCTCTCTGTATATCTGAGTTTCCAACAAAAATAAATCTTAAAAAAAAAATACATTGTGGGGCTGGCATTATGGAACAACAGGTTAAACAGCCACCTATGACACTGGATTCCCATAATGATCACCAGTTGGAATCTTAGCTGCTCCACTTCAGATCCAGCTCCCTGTTAATGCACCTGGGAAATCAACAAAGGACTGCTTCAAGTCCCTGCTACTCACGAGGGAGACCTGGATGGAGTTCTTGGCTTCTGACTCTGGCCTGGTCCAACCACGGCTGTTGTGCCCAATTTGAGGAATGAACTAGCAGATGGAAAATTTTATGTTCTCACGTTTTTCCATCTCTGTAACTCTGTCTTCCAAATAAGCAATTAGAAAAAAAAAAAGAAATTATATTCCTGGGTGAGCATTTTAACCTCCAAAACAATAAGCAAAATAGGGACATTTAACAGTCTTTTACACTACTAATTTTAATAATAAATTTCAAGGTAAAAAAGAAAATCACAAATGAAAATATGTTTAAGTCTAATCATTTAATTTAATTTGAAGATTCTAATTTAGCACCAAGAAAAATGAACTTAGACAAAATTACATTAGTTTTCTTGAACAAATTAATCATTTACCAAGTAGTTGTTGAGTATTACTATGTGTTAGATACTATTTTAAGTAATGAGAATGTGGTAGTAAAAGGAGTCCAGTCTTATGAAAAGTATTTTATCAAAGAGAGGGGTACGCAATAAATGAGTAGATAAACAATGTCCTTCTATGATACTGTTAAAAAAGATATATAGGGCCTGGTGTGGTAGCCTAGTGGCCAAAGACCTCACCTTGCACACACCTGGATTCCGGTTCATACCCTGGCAGCCCTGTTTCTCATCTGGCTCCCTGCTTGTGGCCTGTGAAGGTAGTAGAGGACGGCCCACAGCCATGAGACCCTGCACCTGTGTGAGGGCCCCAGAGGAGGGTCCTAGCTCCTGACTTTGGATCAGTGTAGCTCTGACCATTGCAGTCACTTGGGGAGTGAACCAGTGAAGAGGGTCTTCCTTTCTGTTTTTCCTCCTCTCTGTATACCTGACTTTCTAATAAAAATAAATCTTAAAATAAAGAAATACACAATGGGATATACAATAAATGTTACACAGCATGGAGAATAACCAAATAGTATGGTGAAGAGCAGCCTCAGGAGGTTTTTATGGAGTTCCCAGACCTTGCCCTCTCTCTCCTGCCCATTGTGGATATTTGGTGGAGTAAATCAAAGAATGGGAAATGGACTCTATCTCTGTTTCTCAAACAGAAAATCATTTTTAAAAAAGATATCTAGAACTATTTGTTCGGTTACAGATCCTGCTTGTGAAGTCTAGACAGCTCATGGGTTAGAGTACCTGCCAGTATTTGTGTGGGCTGGATCTCACAATGGGATAGGCTGGGGCAGCCTGCAACACCCACTGTCATGTGCAAGACCAGGACAGGCTGGGCCAGGTTACAGCAGCCACTAGTGTGAGCTGGCACTGGGGGCAGGGCAGGTGGAACTAGGTTACAGCACCTGCTGGTAAATGCCGAGATGGAGTGGGCTATGCCAGACTGGGCTGCAGCACCCACAGCATACTCAAGCCCCAGGACCGGGAGGAGGCCTGTAGGGGAGCTTCCCAGACTCCCCTGCTAGGGCACTGCTTCCACTGGTGAACTAGAGAGCTGTGACTGGGGGTGTTGAATGAACTGGGCAAGGCTGGAACACCCATTGGCCTGCACAAGAGCTGGGTTTTAAGAAGGTCTGGGCTAGGTTAAGCCATTACACCTATTGGTGTATGCAGGAGCCAAAATAAGTGTGTGCCAGCAGGCCTTTGCCACTGGCGAGCACGAGAAATGGGGATGGGGACAGGAAAGACCAGGCTGGGTTGCAATACTCATTGGCATAAATATGGCCGGGTCTGTGGGTGGGCCAGGCTGGGCCAGCCCACAGCCAGATCCAGAGCTAGGAATGAACCTGGTACAAAACTTCAAGGACTCCTTTGCTGGGCTATTTCACTGATGAGCATGAGAGCTGGGGGTGGAGGGATGGTACAGGCAGGGCTGCTACAACCATCAGCCAGCATGTGGAGTGGGTTTGGGAGTGGGGGTTGGCCAGGCTACCACACCCACTGGTGTGACAGAGAGCCAGAATGTGTGGGCCAGCCAGGCTTTTGCAGCACCCACTGGCAAGTGCTGTGACTGGGTGTGAGTCATATCAGGTCAGACTGTAGTACCCTCTGGCAGGTAAAAGATCCAGTGCTGGGAGTGGGCCTGGTAGGGAACTGTGGGCACTAACTTGCTGGGCTGTAGTTTCTGCTGTTGAGTGTAAGAGCCAGGGATGGGGTTAGGCCAGGTTGATCAAGGTGGCAGCACTTGTCAGTATATGTAGGTTAGGTCTGGGAGTGGGGTGGGCTGAGCTAAGCTATAGCATCTACGAGTATGCAAAAGAGTCTGATGAGACTCAGGGCAGACAAAGCTAGGTCACAGCACATGCTGGCATGTGCAAAAACTGGACTTGGGGCGAGCCTGATGGGGTTAGTGGGGGTTGCCTTGACTAGGCTGCAGCACCTGCCTGAGTGTTTAAAAACCGAGCCTATGGTGGATTGGGCTGGGCTAGGCTGCAGCAACTGTCAATTCTCCTGAGATGGGGCTTGCATGGAACTGACTAAGCAGTTGCATCCACAGGTATGTGTGTTGGCTAGTGCAGGTGACATACTGAAATTGACCCTGCACTAGCTGCCATACACAATAGTCAAGTTTGAGCTCACCCCAGATGAACAACAACCAAATGGCTAGACTCAAACTCAGACCACAGGAAAAACTATAAGATGTGTGGTCTGACATTTGAGTGCATGTATTGAGACTGCGTCTCCTAGGTTGCTGATGCCTGTACAGTGGATGGTATACACATGATGCACATGGAGGACATAATAGCTCATCTAAGTCAGGTGGGATGACATCTACTTCATCAGAGGATGGAAAGCAGTACAGGTTGGACAACTCTCCTGTCCAAGCTCTGCAACAGATGTGTGGGTCTGTGAATGCACTAAGTTAGACTCTGTCGACCAATATATCTTGGAAAAATCTTCTCAGCCCTGGAGCAATGAAACTGACAATGACTCAGAATTATCAAAATTACTCAAGTGAAACCCTCAGAAGTTTCTTCCCCACATTAGAGTCTCTAAGGCATCATCGAAACAATGCCCAAACCCTTGGTTGTTGCTTGGTTTAACAATAAGGAGCATCCCTCTGCCCCCTTCTCCTTCCACCTACCACAGACAAAGGAAAAAAAGAAAAATAATTGAAACATTTTTCCCACCCTCTTTTCCTCCATGCCTTGACACTCCTCAACCTAATCAGAGACCCACATGGGTTGCATCCCTTTCAACTAGGGTAAACAATATTAAAAATAAAATAAAAAACTAACAATAATTAAAAAAAAAACAAAATAAAGTATACCCAATATGATGGTACACTGTTACTATCAAGTGTTACTATCTTTTTAAAAAATAATATTTATTTATTTTTATTTGAAAGGTAGATATTGCAGAGGAGAGAGAGAACAAGAGAGCAAGAGAATCAATATGGCAGAATAGGGTAAGGACACGTTTAAATGGGCAGAAAAACATTTAATCAAGATGAAGCAGAAAAGACATATTTTAGGAAATGGAAAAGAACAGAACAACAGCAGAGGGGTACCTGGAGACTGACAGACACAGGAAGGCAGCGGGCACAGCAAAGTGGTGTGGCAGTGATTGATACTCCAGCAGCATTCAGCTAACAGCAATCTGAACTCCACCAGCAGCCAGACCTCCACCAGCAACCAGGTGGGAAGGGACTTGCACTGGGAGCTTGGGAGGTGAACCCAAAGAACTGTCCTTCCTGCTGGTCCATTTGATTTGACCAGGAGTAGAGACAGAGCAGCAGATCCCAGACGGGCAGTGCAGGAACAGGGTGGATTTCACAGCCCAGTCAGCACGCGAGAGCCAAACTGGGCGCCATTTTGCATAAGAAGAAAACGGCAAGGGAAAGGATTGAGCATGCGCTGAGCTGCGAGTGAGCTCATTTCTGACTCAGTGAACTGCATTGACATGGCATTCCACAGGTTACACCCGGTACAGGTCTGGGTAGCCCTCAGACCTGACGGCCAGCAGATCAAGAACTGTAGTAGTGGTAAGTCAGGTGCCATTTTGTACACTGTGGCAATAGCTTTGGGATAGCAGGAGCCAACAGTGAACTGCGCATGTGTGTTGAGCTCGCGAGAACTTGCTCAGATCAATGGATTGCACTGGTCCCGCAGGAAAATAATACCAACTGTGGCATTGTACTGGTCAAAATAGGTCCGTGGTCAAAATAGGCACCCAGACCTAATGTCCAAAAAGATCAGCGCCACTAACAGCCTCATTATATAGGACACCTGGTGTCCCTAATCCTGGGACCTGCTCCAACTGGAAGTGGGACAAAGGTTGCAAAGACAACAGTGCAGCCTCAGCACGGTATCACAGGAGGAGTAGAGCGGTGAGCCAGGAGCTGGGGCTGTGGAGACCACGGTGGAAATCTGACATAAGAACCTAGAGCTGGAACTCGCTGGAGGTTGTGGCACAAGTGGCTGCAAGCAAAAAAGTTGTGTACCAACTGCAATAAGTAGAATTGCATTGCAGACCTGTGGGTGACAGCCTAGAAACCTGCCACAAGGAGAAGAATCTGATAACCAGAAGTACAATGATCAAGAGCAAAAGAAGAGACAATGGCACAATGAATATTACTGAAAACTCCCCTGCAAAGGAGCAAAACCCTATGCCAACCTCAGAGTTAATTGAGGAAGACATCGAGAAAATGGGGAACACAGAATCCATAAGACTCATTTTAAAGCTTCTGATCAAAAATGAGAAGCTCATGCAAGAGTTCAAAGAATTTAAGGAAGCAATGTATCAAACCAAGGCTGGTATATCAGAAATTAAGAACAGAGTAGAGCAAATTACAAGTACAGTGGAGAGTCTCCAAAGTAGACTGAAGCAAGCAGAAGAAAGAATCTCAGGGCCCGGTGCGGTGGCGCAAGTGGTTAAAGGTCCTCGCCTTGCACGCCCGGGATCCCATATGGGCGCCGGTTCTAATCCCGGCAGCCCAGCTTCCCTTCCAGCTCCCTGCCTGTGGCCTGGGAAAGCAGTCGAGGACGGCCCAAAGCTTTGGGACCCTGCACCCGCGTGGGAGACCCGGAAGAGGCTCCTGGCTTCGGATCGGCGTAGTATCGACCCGTTGTGCTCACTTGGGGAGTGAATCATCGGATGGAAGATCTTCCTCTCTGTCTCTCCTCTCTGTACATCCGCCTTTCCAATAACAAAATAATAAAAAAAAATAATAAATGAAGAAAGAATCTCAGAATTGAAAGATATTTCCTGTCATCAGGGGGAAGCAAACAAAAAGCTTAAAGTAGAGCTAGATCAGGCCAAAAAAAGTATTCAAGAATTGAAAGACACTCTTAAGAGGCCAAATATAAGAGTTATGGGAGTCCCAGAAGATGCAGAAAGGGAAGCTGAGTTTGCAAATGATTTTAATGAAATAATCAAGGAAAATTTCCCTAATCTGGAGAAAGAATTGGGAAACAAGATCCAGGAGGGGAACAGAACTCCCAACAGGCTTGATCAAAAGCGATCTTCACCGAGACACATGATTATCAAGCTCTCTTCAATGGAACATAAGGAAAAGATCCTTAAATGTGCGCATGAAAAAAATCAATAGACATATAAAGGAATACCAATTAAGCTCACAGGAGATCTCTCACAGGAAACTCTGCAGGCCAGGAGAGAATGGAGAGACATATTCCAGATTCTAAGAGAAAAAAATTGTCATCCTAGGAGAACATATCCAGCAAAGCTTTCTTCTGTCTTTGAAAATGAAATAAATTCTTCCACACTGAAGAAAAGTTAAAAAAATTTGCCTCTTCCAGACCTGCCCTACAAATGATACTTCAAGACAGAGATACTTGACAGAGAAGAGGAATAGCACCTACCAAAACCAAAGGCAAATGGGAAGAACATCCCAGTAAAATGACAACAGAAGACTAAACCAATAAACAACCCGTTCCTAAAATGACAGGACCAAAGTACCACCCATGTATATTAAACTCTGAATGTAAGTGGCTTCAGCTCAATCAAACATCATAGATTAGTAGCTGGATTAAAAAACAAAACCCATCTGTTTATTGTCTGGAGGAGGCACACTTCAACAACGATCAGCGGAAACTATATTGCATGGGTTTTGTTGTTTTCTGTTGGTTTCATCTCTTCAAAACACTTTCTTCTGATTAAATGATTTGGTAACTCGTAGATCATGCAGTGGCATCATTTTCTTCAAGAAGGTTCTTGATTTTCATTTCTTCAGCTACATGTTAGTCATTTAATAGCACGTTATTTAACTTCCTGGTGTTGTTAATTTCTTTTTTCTCCCTGATGTTGATGTTGTTTTATGGCTCTTCATTAATGGGATGTATAGTAGCTATGTAATGGAGACTGTCATATCTAGCAACATGTCATTTAACTTCATGGCATTGTAAATTTCTATTTTTCTTTCTATTGTTGATTTTGTATTATGACTTTTCATTTGAGGGGATGTACAGTAGCTGTGAAATGGAGACTAACATCCAGAGGTGAGGATGCAGTGTAGTATGCATTTCTGCTTCCAGTCAAAGATGGACTTACAATGAAACTGTTTACTATATCTTGACAATAGTATGCTGGACTCTCTGCCATTGTCCATGCCTGCAATGATGGACATATGACTGTGTATGAAGAACTATATGTTAGTAATGATATAGAGGAACTAGGTGGGGGGGAGAGAATTGGGGAGGGGATAAGGGAATATGGAACTGTATCATCAAATGAAAATAATAATAATAAAATATTAAAAAAAAAAGAAAAGAAAGAGCGCGAGCGAGATCTTCCATCTGCTGGATTACTCTTCCAGTGGCTTCAACAGCCAGAGTTGAGCTGAGTTGAAGCCAGGAGTCAAGAGCTCTCTCTGTGTCTCCCATACAGGTGCAGGGGCCTAAGGACCTGGGCAGTACATTCTAAGGAGATAAGCAGAGAGCTGAATCATAAGTGGAGCAGTTGGAAAATGAACTGACACCCATAAGATTGCTGGCAGCCCTTGTGTGGGTAGTTTGTTGTCACATTGCACCCGCCACCCCCCCCGCCAAGTGTTATCTTAAGCGGGTGAAACTCAGTGAACTGGTTGAGTCTCCTGAGGTCTGAGAAGCACGCTGAGGGAATGTTATAAACTTGTACGTTTATTATATTAGACATTCATAGTTTTTTCAATCTTGGTTTCTTTCTTTCAATCAGGAGCTATGTCTTATTATTTTTCATCTTAGTATCCCATACCTAGTAGAATCTGTAAATGATTACTAAACATCTCAAAACTGCTAATTTTCATTTCTCTTCTGATAACCTCATTTCCTATTTACCAGAGAAATAAGAAACTAAGACAGCTGTACCCACAAACTTTGTTTTATTAATCCATTCTTTTCTATGCTCCTCAGCTCTCTTTCGTATGGTCATCCTTTTACTTTAGCCCTGCAAAACCCCAATTGTAGATGAATCTTAACTGTCTTTCCTAAATTCATCTTGTTAGTTAACACTGCTGACAAAACTCAAATTGCTACTAATAAACTCTAGGTATCAACTTCAGACTTAATTTCACCATATCACTTTATGTCATCTATATTCATCATTATACTCTTAAACCTATTTTTCAAGGGCGATTTCAAACAATTTCCAGTATAGGCAAATGTCCAACCCTTCCTTTTTTCCCCTTCTTGTTCCAACAGAAGTTGTTCCTCTCCTACCTAAGGTCTAACCTCCCACCTCTGCTCTGAATCCTGCCACCTTTCATGTGGCCTCCTCAGATTATCCCCTTTGGATTACTTCCTCTCAACAGTCAGTTTCTACTGACCTCCACTCAACAGTCTCATGTGTCGGTGTTTACTCCGTTTTCCTTAGGATTTACTTGTTTGGGTTTTTCTTCATATTTACTTATTTTTATTGGAAAGGCATATTTACAGAAAGATCTTTCAGCTACTGGTTCATTCCCCAAATGGCGGCAACGGTTGGAACCGAGCTAATCTGAAGTCAAGAGTCAGGAGTCTTTTCCATGTGCGTGCAGGGTCCCAAGGCTTTGGACTATCCTACGCTGCTTTCCCAGACCATAAGCAGAGAGCTGGACAGGAAGTGGAACAGCCGGGACATGAACCAGTACCCCTATGGGTTCCTAGTGCTTGCAAGGTGAAGAGTTAGCCATGAAGTTATTGTGCCAAGCCAAGTTGCTCTACTTTCAGTCCAGCAACCACTTATGGCCTGAGAAAGCAACGAAGGACGAGTTAAGTACTTGAGCTCCTGCATCCACATGGAAGACCTGGAAGAAGCTCCAGCTTCTGAACCAGCAAACAGATCTCCCTTTGTCCATTGTCTCTCCTTCAGTCTGCAAATCTGCCTTTCAAGTGAGAAGACAAAAAGCACAATAGATCTTCCTCTCCAATTTATCTTCTAGAGTTTCCATAGCAATCTTAATAGAATACTAATGTGAACATCTTACTTTATCTACTTAAAATTCTTCAGTGGCGCCCCACTGCCAATCTTCAAGTCTATTACCAAAAAACAAACAACTTTACAGAAGTATAGGGAAAATGATTTGAAACTTGTTGCAAAGAAAGAACTTAATATTTCATGTCTTATCTAGAAAAGAAATACACTGAATTATATACTTTAATGAGTAAGCTTGATAAGCAAATTGCATCCCAAATACTGTACTGTTTATCTCTAGGTTTGAAAATAGAAACTGGAGCATATGTTTGGCCTAGTGTCTTTAGGTGCTGGTTAATGATCACCATATCAGAGTTCCTGGGTTCATTTTCTGTCTCAGACCTCAGTTTCCTACTAATGTGGATTCTGCCAAGTCAGTGGTGATGGCTTAAGTAATTGAGTCCCTGACATCCATGTGAGACCTAAATTGTGTTCTTGGCTTCTCGTTCTGTTGTGAGTATTTGGGGGATGGACCAGTGGATTACAATTCTCACTCTCTGTGTGTTTCTGCCTCTCGCATAAATAGTTAAAAAAGTAAACAAACAAAAATTATATATTAATTTTTTTTATCAGTTTAACTACTAGCCATTTTTCTTGCAAACACTCAGGTAAATATGATGAAAGCTTTGCCTTGTTTACCCTGCAGCTACTCATGTCCTCTGGCCCTCTGGCACATAATCTTTTTTTTTTTTTTTATGTTGTTTACATGCTTATCAAGGTGGGAAGGATCGAGGGTTTTGGAAAAGTGGTTGTGAGCATTGTTTCCAAATTTCTATTTCTCCTTCCTGTTTCGGGGGCAAGGGAGGAGATAAGCACATGAGCCATACTCAGCCTCCCAACCACTCCAGTACCTGGGGACAGGGAAAGATCACCTGATATCAACCCAGGGTCCTGATGTGGCACATGCTCTGAGGGTTTCAATAGTTCAGAAATGCTGTTGATCTTCCCAACCCACGGATGAGAAAACCTAAATGTCCATTGGGTGACACAGATGATCTTAGAGTCTCCATTCAACCAGATTTTTGCTGTCAACCTTTGGCTGAAGTAGCTGTCCAATTTGTTCTGTTCTTCTACAGGACCCAATGGGCTGCCATATCCTCCATGTGCACCAGGGCCTGCCCTTCACTGCTCTATCTTTCACTGAGGAGGACCAGTTCTTGCAAGCGGACCCAAGGGCTTGGGCCAGGCAATGAGAGTCCAGTCAGGCCCCCACCCTCAGGGCTCACAGACTTTCAAGCAGGTGAAAGGACCTGGGCCAAGCAACCTGGGCCCCACCTCTGGGACTCACAGAATTAGCTCCCATGCAGAGGTGGGCCCAAGAACCCAGGCTAGGTGACCCATGCCCCACTGGACCCTCCTCCCCTGGGGTTCACAGACCTGGCACCCACTGTGTCAAGACTAGTATGGCTTGCCTCATCTCAGCATCCACCAGCAGGTGTTGCAACCTGGCTTGGTCCACCCTGCTCCCAGTTCCAACTCCTGCTGGTGGGCTGGCACATAATCTTATATTCAATAATCAGAGAATTAATATCCCTAGAAACTGAGAAACACAGGATAAACCCAAATTTCTTAGCATGGAAGAAAAGGCTTTCAGTGCATCACATACTTGCTGAAAATCTGTTCTTTTTCAGCATTAAGCTGGAGTACAAAGATGTCAAATCAGGTTTCAGTTCTTGAATAGCTTATGTCCTGATGCATCAAGATATTAATTCTCACTTTCTTAACATTAGAGTGAGAAGTGTTTGGTAAAGTTGCTGAGTAGAAGTTATTAAATAGATGACAACTGAACTACATAAAAACATATAATCTTGCCAAAAGTTTTTAAAAAATATTCCTAAGAAAGTCCCTATTAAAGCTGGCATATGTCACAAAATTCAGCCTATTATTATTCTCAAATGCAAATGATCATCTGCATTTAATTTTGTTTAGGTGATCCTCTTTAGTTTTCTCAAATAATATGTTAATGTTATTTGTATGCAAAAAAGGGCTATAATAGTATTCTTGTACACATATCTCTTTTTAAAAAAGATTTATTATTTTTATTGGAAAGGCAGAGAGAAGGACAGAGAAATAGACCTTCCCTCTGCTGGTCCACTCCCCAAGTAGCCCCAACAGCCTGAGTTGAGCCAACCTGAAGCCAAAAGCCAGGAGTCTCCTCCAATCCTCTCATGCAAGTGCAGGGTCCCAAGGACTTGAGCCATTCTCTACTGCTCTCCCAGTCCACAAGCAGGGAGCTGGACAGGAAGTTGAGCAGCTGGAAAACAAACCAGTGCCCACATGGGAACCCAGCAGATGCAAGGTGAAGATTTAGCCACTGAGCCATGACACCAGATGACTTTTATACTGAACTAACCTACACTTTCACCAACAGCGGAGTAAGGTACCTTTTCCCCCCACATTCACAGCAGCAGGTATTGTTAGTAGATTTCTGAATGTAGGCCATTCTCAATGGAGTTAGGTAGAATCTCAGCATGGTTTAAGCCAATCCCCAAAGAACAAAAATCACATGTTCTCTCTGATATAAGGCAACATTCATGCTAAATATAAAACAAACTAACATATAGGTGAACAAGTATATACACATAGTCTCACAGATGAACTATACAATAGAGACAAGCATACTGGGAAGTGAATATGTATTGCTGTAGGCATCTTTACTCTTGAATAAAAGGAAGACTCCCACTGAAACAGTTAAATATACCTTGACAATGTAATACTAGATTTTCTTTGTCTATACCTACAATGATGCGCAAATAGCAGAATGTTAAACCTATAACTGTTACTAAGGAACTATACTACTATAATAATATGGGGGAAAACAGTTGGAGGGGAAAATGAAGAGTGACAAAGGTGAGGGAGGAAATGAAAAGTGATCAAAGGGAGGAAAAGGGAGGAATCCCTATACCTATAAAGTTGTATCAAGGAAATATAAATAACTTAAAATTATACATATAATTACTATATGACTTAGTAATTGCACTGACAGAGACTCTTGAAAATAGAAATTTATGTCTACACATAACACTATGTGTGAATATTCAAAGAAGTCTTGTTCATAATAGCTGGAAACTGGAAACAATTCAGATATCCTTCAGTGGGTAAGCAGCAATGTATAACCATACCATGAAACACTACTTAACAATTACAAAAAAAAAAAAAAGAATTAATACACAATAGCAGTACACAATGCGAGTCTCCAGAAAATTATGCTGAATAAAAAGAACCCACTCCCAAAAGTTACACATTATATTACTTCACTTACATAATAATTTTCACATTATAGGAATAAAAAACAGACAACTATTTCTCAATTAATACAGCAGTTAGTTGACAGGGTGTGTAAAGAAGTGAGTGTGTCTATAAAAGGACAATATGATGGGTAGTTGTGATGATTCAACAACCTGATTGTGATATCCTATTAGTTTTGAAAAATATTGGGGAAAACCAAGCAAAGAGCACATAGGGTATCTATATATTACTTTTTACAACTGCATGTTACTTTACACTTATCTCAAAATTTAAAAGAACATGTAATAAAATAAAAAATAAGAATACATAATTATGTTTAAAAGTTGAATATATGACATTCATGACTTGGGGCGAGCTGATGAACTCATAAACCATAGGGAATATAAACATCAAAGACAAACATCACAATTCATCAGTCAAAATAACAGGTCCTTAATTATATACCACATACATCTAAATAGTATATACTATCATAAACTCTTTAAACACATCAATTGATTTTTATTTCCACATCAACCTTATGAGATACCATTACTTTATTAATGAACAAACTTAATTACAGCATAGAGATGTTTGTGATGTGCTAAAATGATCAGTTGATATGAAAGCAATATCCAGCATGAAAGCTACATCCAGCACACACGGGAAGAAAACATAGACTGGTATCAACCGCATTCAAAGGGAGCCAAGGACTGACAGAAAATGTCACAGAACCACATTTTTTTTTAAAGTATTATAACTTCAAGAAATTTATTTTGTAGTTAATACCTTTTTAAAAAAGATTTACTTTCTAAATTGGAAAGTCAGATATACAGAGAGGAGGAGAGAAGGAGAAGAAGATCTTCCATCCGATGATTCACTTCCCAAGCAGCTGCAACGGCCAGAGCTGAGCTGATCTGAAGCAAGGAGCCTGAAGTCTCTTCTGGGTCTCCCACGCGGGTACAGGGTCCCAAGGCTTTGGGCTGTCCTCTACTGCTTTCCCAGGCTACAAGCAGGGAGCTGGATGGGAAGCAGGCCGCCAGGACTTGAACTGGTGTGCATATGGGATTCCGGTAAGTTCAAGGCGAGGACTTAAGCCGCTAGGCTACTGTGTCAGGACCCAGAACTGCATCTTGATGGATACTAAGGAACTTGTTAGGTATTTAAAGTAGAAGTATGCACATTAA